GGAATAGAAGAATCGAAGGTAATACGTCATTCCACTCACAGAACGTAAATCAAAAACCGCCGCCATTTTGAGTCCGCGTCACGACAACGCAGTGACGCCATTATTATTGCCGTCACGTGAGCAAATGCTTCGACAACAGCAGCGCCACCCGCGGTCGATTACAGAGCTACTCTGTACGCTAGCAGCCCCCTCTCTCTTCTCTCTCTCTGCCCCCCTCTCTCTCTCTCTCTCTCTCTCTCTCTCTCTCTCTCTCCCCTCTCTCTTTCTCTCTCTCTTCCTCTGTTTGACATCGATAAGCAAATTTAGCATGCCCTAGACTAATAAAATAAACAAGTTGATTAATAGTTCTCTCCGAGCCTTCACTCCAATCTCATTTAGAACAGCAATTTTACAATCGCTTACACAGCGGACGATGCTTTTTTCTCTATATATACATATTAATTCCCGTTTCCCGTCGCGCTTTTTTTAAATCTTTTTCTAAGGGAACGAAATCAACCGGAAATTTCACGAGCCTGCGCGTAAACACAACTCGCTTTGGGTACTCGTGTGCTTATTAATAATAAGGATATATAACGTCGAACGATTAATTTTAACCGAAGAGGAAAACACAAATGATTTATTGCTCGTAACGGAGCTATTAGGCAAAACGCAGTCAGGGAATTTTTGCCGTGCGCGGATGTTGGATGTTTGTTGCCATGGTAATTTGAGATGCGTTTAAGTCGGTCCTCGTCATGCGTGACTGCACGCGTGGTTATATAATACGCGGGATGAATTTCCACGCGCATGAATAAATTAGAGGCATCATTAGACATCGGCCACGCGTACAAACTTCAAACCCGTCAACGTGTATAGACATAGAACATGAATGCTTACTTTAAACTAAATGTCTACAGACATACGTGCATACATTAACCTGAATGTGTACAGACATACGTGCTTACTTTAACCTGAATGTCTACAGACATACGTGCATACATTAACCTGAATGCATCACAGATACATGAGTATATTGTGTCATAGACGTGAATGCTTACATTAACCTGAATGTCTACAGACATACGTGCAAACATTAACCTGAATGCATAACAGATACATGAGTTTATTGTGTCATAGACATGAACGCTTACTTTAAATTGAATGTCTACAGACATACGTGCATACATTAACCCGAATACATCACAGATACATACGCATACATTAACCTAAAAGTATCACAGACATAAATGCCTACATAAACCTGAATGTGACATAGATATGCATGCAAACATTACCCTGAAAATATCCCAGATATAGCTGCCTAGATTAACCCAAACGCCTGTTAAACGTAGAAGCCCAATTTAAGACGTATCTGAATACATCAGAGACATAGATGCATACACTGAGATACACTTAGATGGCCCCCTCATACTGAGCCCCAGATGTACATGTACGTATTTGATGCGTAGAAACATACAACGACACGCATTCCAATGCTTTCCAGACATTGACACTACTTTGACCCGTACCCATGCATCTGGGACGTTCACCCCAGCATTACACTATACATCAATGCTTCCATAGCATAACAGCTTACAGCAAGACACAGCTGAATGCATCCCACGACGTTCACCCTAACATGAAGCTATACCCCCATGCTTCCATAGCACAACAGTTAGACACCAACATTAATTAGACTATACCTCGTTGCTTCCAAATTATACCAGTACACATTGAGACAGAGTAAGACGCAGTAGGACACAGTGATACATAGTGATACATAGTTTACAGTGACACAGTGAGACAGTAAGACACAGTGATATACAGTAAGACACAGTGAGACACAGCTTACAGTAACACAGTGAGACACAGCGAGACACAGTGAGACACAGTGAGACACAAGTGAGACACAGTGAAACACAGTAAGACACAGTAAGACACAGTGAGACACAGTGAGACACAGTTGAAACACAGTAAGACACAGTAAGACACAGTGAGACACAGTAAGACACAGTGAAACACAGTGAGACACAGTGAGACACAGTGAGACATAGTGAAACACAATGAGACATATGTGAGACATAGTGAGACACAGTGAGACACAGTGAGACACAGTGAGACACAGTGAAACACAGTGAGACACAGTGAGACACAGTGAGACATAGTGATACACAATGAGACACAGTTTACAGTGACACAGTGAGACACAGTGAGACACAGCTTACAGTGATACACAGTGATACACAGTGAGACACAGCTTACAGTGACACAGTGGGACACAATGAGACACAGCTTACAGTGAGACACACAATGAGACACATTTAACAGTGACTGTAACTATTACCGTGACATTTAACTACGTACCTGTATGCCGCGCAGCCCGAACAGCTTCGTCACCTCCAGCGGTTCGGCGAAAGTAACCGTCTATAACACAGTTATCTTGGAAGGATTCACACCACTGGCAGTCAACAGCGACTGCAGCATCCTGCCATAGACAGACGACGGGTCGTCATGGTTACACGTAGTACGAAATGGGGGGAAGGGGTTTTAAAATCGTTGATATATAAATGCAGATATAAATGAAATTGATTGAATTATAAATATAAATATAAATTAGTCTGGATTATGATATATGATTGAATTCTAAATGCAGACATAAGATGGGAACATGGTGATATAGCCATAATATTCTGGTATCTCTTAGCCCATGAATAGCTAGCTATTCCGGAGCTAATTATAGAAGTTACCTACATACCAGCAACACCTAAATTCGTACATGGTAGCTACACATAAGTAAAACTGACAATATTATAATAATTTGGTTTATGGTTCGACACTAACGAGTAATCTCTTTGTAATCTCTTTAAGATAGTGCATCTTTAAAATTAGTGCCCGTTTATTTGCGGTAATAACACAGACGCTGTTTTAGCGTCACTCTTCCCGTACTCACGTCTCTCTCTTTCTTTCTCTCACTCTCTCTCTCTCTCTCTCTGTCTCTCTCGCTCTCGCTCTCGCTCTCTGTCTGTCTCCCCCCCTCTCTCTCTCTCTCTTTCTTTCTCTCACTCTCTCTCTCTCTCTGTCTTTCTCTCACTCTCTCTCTCTCTCTGTCTGTCTCCCCTTCTCTTCTCTTCTCTCTCTCTCTCTTCTCTCTCTCTCTCTCTCTCTCGCTCTCTCTCTCTCTCTCTCTGTCTCCCTATCTCTCTCTTTCTTTCTTTCTTTCTCTCGCTCTCTCTGTCTGTCTCTCTCTCTCTCTCTCTCTCTCTCTCTCTCTCTCTCCATCTCTCTCTCTCTCTCTCTCTCTCCCCTTCTCTGTCTCTCTCTCTCTCTCTCTCTCTCTCTCTCTTCTCTCTCTCTTCTCTCGTGTCCCGCATCACAACACTCGGCATAGATGCGATATTTGTATCTATATTATATTTTACATTTATAGTTGATGGCACGTACTGAAGGCAGGCGGGAAGGGCTGGGTGGGAATGGTGTCCACACTTCACTTTGTTGTCATATGTCGTAAATGCTGTCGGATTTCCTAGAAATTTGTCTGAAAGCTGGCTTTTACTATCCGATGCCTTGTAGGCGCTAATGGGTATATATATTATATATATATATTATATTATATATATATATATATCGTACGTGATAGATGGCAAAACGATGAACTTTCGTCAGCATATCGAAGATAACAAGTTTGCGACTCGTTTGAATGATATCAAAAGCTGAAGTGGAGAGAAATTTAGCAAGAAATTATGCTTAAGGGCAAACTGAGGAATGACTGTCGCTACCGTTCGTCTGAGAATGACTGTCGCCAACGTCCTCTGAGCAATGAATGTCGACAACGTCGTCTGAGGATTGACTGTCGCCACCGTCGTCTGAGGAATTGACTGTCGCCGTTGCCGCACGCGCGAAAAACCGTCACATAAACAGAGCCATCGATCGGCAGAGTTGATTCACTTGCGTTTCATATAATGCCGAGCAGCGGACGCCAGATAAACTTGCGTGCGCGCGTAGATGCTAGCGAAGCAGTTGGCTTAATTGGGAGTTTTCTTGCTCACGAGGGTGCTCGGCTGTCAATTATGCAGTATGTGCGCAACGCTAAATCTTCGCGTGTGTCGCATCTGCGCAGGAATCCGAGCCTTATTGCTTCATTGACGGTGTTTCCCCCATTCTATCTCTCTCATCTCTCTTCTCGCACTCACTCTCTCCCTCTTGCGCGCTCTCTCTCTGACTCTCACTCTCTATCTCGCTAGCTCTTTTCTCGCTCGCTCTCCCCTCTCTCCCTATTTCATTCTTTCTCTCTCTCACACACTCTCTCCTCTCTCCCCCTCTCTCTCTCTCTCTCTCTCTCTCCTCTCTCTCTCTCCCTATCTCATTTTCTCTCTCTCTTCACTCTACCTTCTCTCACACACACTTCTCTATCTCTCTCTCTCTCTCTCTCTCTCTCTCTCTCTCTCTCTC